ATGAAGATGGCACCTTCAAAAAAATACAAAAACAAATGTCCAGTCCAGAGACTGTGAGCATCACGACTAAAGGTAATTAATGATACAGTTGTTTCTCCTCTACACTCATATATCAGAATATATTGCTACGTACAGAACTGGTTGGGAGGTTACCAAGGCTGAGTAAAAAACATGCAAAGATTTATTTTTTATTTTTAAGAACATCTACCATGTAATGAGAAACATACATATTTCTAGCAAATACAAATACAAAACAGAATTCCTTTGTGGGACCAGTTGGAAAGTTAAGCACAGAAGTTGAATAATTTGATTAGCGATGTTACAAAATCCCTAAACCTAATTAAGAGTGACAATAATAGTGATGCTTGCCTTGTGATACTCCTTGAAATAAGAGGCATTGGTTTGCATTCCTTGCCATACATAATCTAGTCACAGTTTTCACTATGAATGCTTGCATCACAAGACATTAATATTGTCTGTTCTTTTGCCTGTCTGGTCAGAGAGTGACCTGGCGGTCATCATGGTGATGAAGGATGTGGTAACTGAGGGAGATGCACTACGGGTCACCTGCTTGGTGTTGCAATTCAAAGGTCCTTTATCAGTGTCATAGCAACACAAGAAAGACTCGGGGGTTTCCTTCAGTGATGTCATTAGTTTGACCCATGAGGGAGTGATGAAAGATATTGGGGCAAGGTATCAGAGCAGACATGTTCAAACACTTCAATCTCCAGCTGGAAACTTTACTCTGGAGATTGGTGCATCTGCAAAATCTGACAGTGGCGAATATAAGTGCATTGTGTCTGAATGGACAGTACAGAGCAATGGCGAGATGAAGAAAGCCAACACCCAATCTCAGCAAAAAGCCATTTTAGTTAATTATGTTGGTAAGATTACTAAATAATCGCACATTATTCTCAGGAACAGAGAAAACTGTAAAGACATTCCGCCATACATTCTATGCAATTACTTTGCTCATATGCAGTTACTTTGCTCATATACTTTGCTGTTACTGATATTAGAGTTTAAATAATCACTGCAGATGTTCCTTTTCAGAATCTCTAATGAAGGTGAGCTTGAAAAGTCTTACAACAAATGTGCCAATAGATTCTCCAGTAGAACTGCACAGTCAGAGGGCCTAAAGTGTCTTTGGCTGTACTCTGGATGTTTCAGCCCCGCAATTCAACTGTGCAAACAAATATTTTATCCATACGCCCCACACTGGAGAGATCACCTGGGAAGCAGATCAGAGAAACTATCAGCTGTCCATTCAAGCACTACCGACAGACACTCGTTTCACTCTCATGGTGGCGAGAGCCAGCAAGCAACTAGAAGGACGGTAGTGTCAAGTTGATGCCTATCAAAAGTAAGTACAGAGAGCCAAGACAACCTCCAACCCGTTAGCTGTGATTGTACAAAAACCTAGTAAATACAGATATTTATTCAAAAATTAACATTTGGACACTTTTTTTAAAAACTCAGATTTAATTATTTATTTTTTCAAAATGCATAGGCCTTAAGAGAAGAAGAAAAAATGTGCTTTTAGATGAACGTCCTTCTAATTTTATATGTATAAGTTTGACTGCATAGTGAAACAGCCAA